AACCAAGCTTAGTTAGAAGGAAAAATATGAAAAGTTGTTGAGCGTTTGAATTGTTAGTTAATTTATGAAAGATCCGAGCTATTGTCACTGGAAGACACTGAAGCAAATGTTGAGGTATATCTGAGGTACAATATCACTGGAATCGTTGTATCTGGGGTCAGAAATTACCGACTTATCAGGTACTTAAATAATTATTGGTGTGGAGATGTGGATGATCAAAAAAGTATACCAGGATATGTATTTTTTATGGGAAATATAATGTTCACTTGACTTTCGAATATACAACCCATTGCGATATTTTTAATGTGTTAAACCGAGTACGTAGTAGCATCATGGAATGTGTGTCTTGTAGTGTGGCTCAAGAATTTGTTAAGCTCGTTGGAGGAAAAATAATTTGGTGTGATGGTGATCCAAGTTGACAGCAAGTTGGTCATTGAGCTAGCAAACAACCTAATCTACCATGAGAGGAGTAAGTATATTGATGTGCGGTTTTATTTCATCAGAGAACACGTGAAGGAAGGAAATGTGGATTTTGTGTATGTGACAAGTCGAGATCAAGTTACTGGTATCTTCATGAAGTCATTACCTATAGTGTTGTTCGAGAATTATAAGAAGCTAGCCAGAATGAAGGATGAAAGAAGTTGTTAGTCATAAGGAGCAGTCGGCAGGTCGGTCTGTGACCGATCTCAGTCAGTTGAAGAGGGATTTAATTTTACGAGAAAATTTTGTTGGATAAAATTAAATAGAAAATAATAGGTTTAAATGTCAATTGAAATATTTTGATTTTGCAAATATCTTGGACAATTAATATTATGATTCCATATATTATTATTTTTTTATTCTAGGGAGTTCATGTTAGAACTTCAAAAAGCTTATTTTGAACCTATAAATACCCAACTGTATCATTTAATTTTACACATCACCTACAAGCAATAACATTTAACTTCCTCAATCTCTTTGTTATCAATAGCAAACTTTTAAGCAAATACATATACTTTATCAATAAGGTCCTCTAGATCTCAAAACACGTTATCAACTATTGGAGAAAGTCACCTTGGATTTTGTTATTTTTTTAAAGATATTTCAAGCCTATTTTCAAAGTTAGACAATCAAAGTCAAGACAGATTACCCATATCCAAGGTTTTGCGAAAGATTGAGTTAGCAGAACGCATGATAACTTAGTCCATTGAGCTACTAGAATTTGGAATAACATATTAGTCTAGAGGGTTAATAAAAGTCAATTTATAGCTGATGTTGTTGATGTGTTACCATCAATAAGGAGAACAAATATCATTATTTGATTCTTCAGGTTAACGAGTCCTTCAATGCGAAAGGAAGTAGTGTAAGGATCATCTTCAAAGGACTAAAGGAGATAATTGATCAACCTCTCATACTTGAATTCAAAATGTTAAACAATTAGGTCAAATATGAAGTGTTCATTGATGACCCACTTAAAGACATCGTAGTAAATAAACTCATATGCCAAAGTGATTTGAAACTCACAATTGATCATCTTTTGCTAAAATATTTTCATTATGTAATCAAGATGTTATCAACTTTCAAAGAAACATGTTTAGAGCACATATGATAAGAAAAAAATAACTAAGTTGATCAACTTTCAAAATTGCAAGTACAAACAAGAGAGGATAGCACCAAAGTATCATACAACACACATTAATGTCCCCCTTAGTTAACCTAGAGAAATCCCTAATGACCCAAGATGAACCAACATGGATAACACCTATCTCCTAATATTTTTAATTGAGAGATAGTACTGGAGACCCTAAAGGAAGCAGTTTCACTCAAGAAAAAAAAAAACTTATGCTTCATCCGGAGAAGTAGGCATGGCAACGGGCGGGGCGGGGGCGGGGGCAGGTTTTGCCTCCCCGATCCCCACCCCCGACTTTTTTAATCATCCCCGTCCCCGCCCCCAACCCCCGTCGGGGTTAGAAATTAAGTCCCCATTCCCGTCCCCGCTGGATTTCGGGTTCCCCGTCCCTGTCTCGTCCCCGATCTATATTATTTTTAAAAAGATAATTACATTTATAATAAATTAATTTTACTATCTATTTTTTATATATAAATAAATATTTATAATTTATAATAATTATTAATTAAATATACATTTTAATTTATTATATTTATATTAAAATATGTATGTAAAAGAAATATTTAATCATTTTTTATTTATAACATTATTATTATTATAATACTGTATTCAAATATTTGAATACTTATAACATTATCATTATTATTATAATACTTGTATTCAAACATTTGATTATATATATAAGTTAATTCATTTTTAAGTTGTCATTTAAAAATATGAAATATATAGTTTATAATGAAATATTTAATAAGTTAATTATTATTCAATTAGTTCAAAGTAATAAAAGTTTAAATTATCAATTCCTTTAATCCTTTAAAATATAATTATTTTATTAAGATAAAATTTGATATATGATAAATAAGAATAATAAGATAAACAAATGACATAATAAAACCTAATAAATATAAATTATAAATAAAATAATATTAGTTACTATTAAGATTTATGTAAAATATTTAGAAAAAGATAAAGAATAAAAAAATTAACTGTGTTCATCAAATTGATTGAAAAGATTGAAAAAAATAAATAAATTGATGAGAGAGATTAAGGAAATATGAAAAACTACAAGGTATATGAGAGAATAATGTAATAAATTAATTGATATAAAAGATTAAAAAAGACAAAAAAATTAAAAAATAAGTAGAAGAAAAATAAAAATTGGTAAAATATAAAAAAATGACCTTATATGTAATAGAAAAAGAAAAGAAAATACTTTTAAAATATTAATATTTTAAAATTTAAATTTAAATATAAAGTCGGCGTGGGGACGGGTAGGGGTTGAGGTGGGGATTGCATTACCCATTTCCGCCCCGACTTTTTAAAACGGGAAAACCTCGAACCCGCCTCGCCCGCCCCGGTCAACTCGGGTTTTCTCAGTCAAACTCGGGCGGGACGGGTAGGTCCCCACGGGGATGTGTTTAATTGCCAAATGTTTAAAAGAAACTTTTACATCACCTCTTCTCAAATATATTATGGAGAAGCAGTAACAAATTTTCTTGGAAGTTGAAGGGGGTAATGACCTCTTTAAATTTTTGTCACTTGTATTAACATCTATGATTTTGGTCCCTTCCAAACTTAATCATTATTAATATACTATATTTATTTATTATTTATTAATAATATATTAATTTATCTCATTAAAATCATGATCTGCCACGCTAAAAAAATGAATTACACTTTGCAACAAAGTCAATGAGAATACGAATACTTTGCAGAGAATACTAACTATCAATCTAAAATTGTTTTGCATAACCAACAAATTAATCATTACCTAAATTTATATAATTAAGATAATACCTTAAAAAATAATTAAAACCATTTTGGATTGAGTGCCAACACCAAAAAATAAAAACCCATTCAATTAGTATAAATAATTTAAAACCCATTAAATTAGTATACATAATTTAAAATCTCATTGCATATTTATCGTCATTTATACTTTATTTCACTTGCATCATAAATTTTTTGGAGAGACCCAGCAACATATTGAATCTCACTATGAGTGAGCAGTGAAGCCATCTATTAGCTCTGAGATGATTATGAATAAATTAATAATTATTCAATGATATAAAAGTGTTTATAGTCACCACATATCAAAATTAAATTATATAATTTATGCATTGTAAGTGGTATTTAACAGTACAATGGAACGAACAAATGTTTCCCCGAAACCAAAGTACCTCTTTCTTTCCATGGAACTTAATTGACAGCCTAGGTAATATCTTTTTAGATCAAAAGCAAAAATCTTTAAATATTAAAGAACCAAATTAAAAAACAAATTATTCGAAACTAAATGCAAAATTTATAAATTTCAAAAATATATAATTGTTTACATCATTTGTACAACTTGATAAATTAATTAAATACAAAAGATAAGTAAATTCCATTTGTTCCTACATCATATAGGAATAAAAAAAAAATAGTTTTTATTACCACCTCTCTTTATTGACTAAGACACATCTTTAAGATTAAAGGGTAATAGAGGGATTGATTAGCAAAATTCAAAATATATTGAATGCAATAATCTTAAAAATAGTCAGCTTTAGACTACTTAACCTAAGTATTTCTGTGAGTAAATCTTTCCATATTCTCAAGAATTGTTGTGCTAAACATATTTTTTACAAAAAAAATTATTACTAAAAAAATTGAATTTATTTTTTATATTATTAATATGTAATGAAATTATGTATTTATTTAAGATATATATATATATATATATATATATATTAGTTTTAGAAAAAAATTATAAGTATATAATATATTTATAAAGTAATTATGTTTATTTTGAATATATATACTAATATTAATAATACATATATTAAAGAATATAAGTAATAATATGTTTTCCTGTAAAATTGAAGCATAACATTAAAATTTGTAATAATATAAAAAATTTACAAATTTAAACTCAATATCCAGAGCACAAGATATTTAATCAATTAATTCATAATGATCAAGTACAACATTTTACTGAAATAAATCTTAAAACTTTGGGGAAGTTCATTTAATATTTACGAAGAATAGGAGCCCCCTTAATAATAATAATAGTAGTAATCTTTCAATGTCAATGGTCACAATATATAATAATTAAAAATAAATATTTCGTGTAGCGCAAGAAAAATCAAATACATCCAGAAAGGAGGAAGAATCTGCCCTTCATTTTCTTTCTCCGATTGCATCACGTCACGCCCCCCCAGTTCCCACGTTCAAGTTTCCGTGATCTTCCAATATTTCCTGATTCCTTATTGAAATTCATTTTCGTGATTCCTTATTGGTTTTCAATTTCTTGATTCCTTATTGGCTTTAACCAAACAATGGTGATGAGTGACGATCCCATTGAATAGCTGTTAATTAGAATTTGATGCATGTGGGTTAGGGAATTGTTATTAGGATGTCGAATTTGTACGGGGATTATAACCAAAAGATTGATTACGTGTTCAAGGTGGTGTTGATTGGGGACTCCGCAGTCGGCAAAACCCAACTTCTTGCACGTTTTGCAAGGAACGAATTCAGCTTCGATTCAAAGGCAACCATTGGGGTTGAGTTTCAGACTAAAACACTCATCATTGATAACAAGACCATCAAGTCTCAGATTTGGGACACCGCTGGCCAAGAAAGGTATGCAGTTAACTTTTGCCAACAAAACTATTTACCCATGGTTTATTTTCTTATGGAAATTGTTGAATTGGATAATTCATAATTCCATATACGGAATTATATTATTTTCTAGGTTATGATCATGGATATTAGCTGATACAGGAATAGTCCCTAGATAGAAGAAATATTAATTAAAATTTGGATATGGTTCAGTTCAGTTTAATGATGTTTGTTGGTTAAGGAAACTGGTAAGGATTATCATCCAAGAGTCCTAGAGCTGTCAATTCAACTTTTAAAACTCAACTATAACAAAAGTCTAGCTACCCAGTTATTTCGGTGAAAAGGTTTCTAGACAAAAAGGTCATTGCCAATCGTTGTTTAGGAATGCCATATACATTCAAAAAGTTTGGTTATACAGTCACCTGTATGGAACTTAACCTCTGCTAATTGTTGTTCAGGAATGGCATATACGTTCAAAATTAGTAGCACTAACTGTTTTATGTAACTTTGTGTTGAAAAGTTGTTTGCTGCTACTTAGTGAATTTGAAGATGTATGATTGGATATATTAATTACATCCGATGAAGGATAGGAAAAATTTTGTGCAGGCAACTTGCTGCGTAGAATATGCATTTTTATCAAGTACCATTTTCAGTTTATCATAGTGGATTCCAGAAAAAACAAATTGCTTGAAATAGTTAAATACAGAAAATATTTTTCAACCATCTTCCCTTCCTCAATCCTACTTGTTGACGGATGCAGCCTCGTTCATTTATTAGTCTAACAATAGATGAAAGAACTATCTATATAAAAGCCCTCAATGGAATCCTATACTTTCTCAAGATTGGATCTAGCATCTCACCACAACTTGTAATGTTTGGTGTTACCACCTGTTTCGCTTGTTTGTAATTGAGAAACATCATAAAAAACTCTCTGATTTCAAATAATTAAAAATCCGAGAGAACCACTCCACAAAAGTTAGACATTATAATTATAAAGTCCTTAGACCTTACAAACCCCACAATAATATAATTACGGTGCACATATACTTCCAATATGTATTCAGGTTCTACTTAGATTTTTAAGATAAAATCAAACTAGATTTTTTAACTTTCTACCATGAAAACTATGGAAATACCGAAATTAAATTTGTTTATTTAATGCAAAGCATGGATGATTGTGGTTGTTTCAATCTCATTTTTAAAATCATTTTTTATTTTACTATAAAGAAATTTTAGGTTGCTTCCAAAAGAAGAAAGAAATCACTAGCTTGACTTACGGTACTGTATTGCCTTCTTGAATAGATTAATAAAATTATCAGCTGGAATTTCCGTTGTTGAGGATCATATATATGAGACACATAAAAACATTATAATCAAAAGGAATAAATTAAGGTAGTTGGACAATTCTTATCTGTTATTATAATGAGATTCTTCAATGTATTTATTCACTTGAAGACACATCATGACTTTCTACCTATTTGCATTGCATTAATGTTGGAAAATTTGGACTGATTTCGTGTCAGTAAGTAGCTGATGTGATACCTGCCTCTTTTGGTTTGGCTTGCACACCTTTTTTTTTGTTCTTTTACGTCTTCCTTGAATTTCACCTAAACGGTTTACTGCAATAGACTTCACAAAGTTGAAGCTTTTATTTGGTATTTAGTTTAGCCTGGGAAAATTGAATTCTCTTTGTCTCATTCAGGTACAGAGCAGTTACAAGTGCATACTATCGAGGTGCTGTAGGTGCAATTTTAGTTTATGACATGACTAAGCGTCAGTCGTTTGACCACATGGTAAGGTGGTTGGAAGAGTTGCGAAGCCATGCTGACCAAAGTATTGTCATCATGCTAATTGGGAACAAGTGTGATTTGGGAAACCTTAGAGCAGTGCCAATGGAAGATGCAGAGGAGTTTGCACAAAGAGAGAACCTGTTCTTTATGGAGACATCAGCACTTGAGTCCACTAATGTTGAAACTTGCTTTTTGACCATTCTAACAGAGATATACCGGATTCATGCCAAGAAATCACTCACTGCTAATGATGACGATGATAGTGGGGGTTCAGGTCTTCTTAAGGGAAGCAGAATAATTGTTCCCAACCAAGACATGGATCATGGTGGAAAAAAAGGTGGTTGTTGCTAGCTTTTGTGTATTTTTAGTTCTTCTTGGGAAACATACTACTGACTCAAATTCTGCCTATTTATGTCATGGGTGTTTGTAGAGGAGGTAATTACTTTTCATGGTAATTATCTCCTCCTGTCACTCTAGGCATGCTTAGGCTATGTGTATTTCAATTTGTGAATACAATCATACAGATTCTCTCTTCTTCAACAATATGATAATGATGGATCCAAGTTACAATTTTAAAAGGGCTTTATTTACAATTTAAAGAACAATGATGAACATATAAATAAGATGGTAACTAAATTATAAAAAAGGAAAAAAAATCAATGTTTTCTTCCCATTTTTCTCTGAAAAAATCATTATAGTGTGTGGATGATATCAATTTAAGATACCTACAATGATAAATTTATATTTAAACAACTTAAGTAATTCACACATAAATGTCTTTATCAATTTAAAGGGCTTTATCATGCGACATCATGTTTATATAATTCACACATAAATTTATCCAAAGATAAATAGTTAATCAATTCAAGTTTTATGAAAAATAAAGACTCATCTTATCCGTATATAATAAGGTTAAATATGATTTGAGTGTCCTTCAAATCTATGGCAAGGGATCCTCATGTGTAGGATTAACCTTTTAACATTGAGTTAGTATTAAGGGTATTTTAGGGTCTGTTTTTGAGAATTACTAATGAATTAAAAATGATATTTTAATGTGAACTCCCAACTAATTAAAAAATAGAGAAAGTTGTTTATATAGATATTTTTTTAATTTTAAGTAATTTTTTAATTTTACATATTTCATATGTATCCTCTAATAAAATAATATTTTATTTTGAATCAATTGTGGTAATGTTCTTACACGTAGAGTTTTCCCAACATAGTTTTGTGACTTTTTTTCATAAATAATACTGTTTTCAAAAATATTTACCCAAATAGCACCTCTGCAACTTTATTTACACAACTAGCACTGTTTACTGTTCACGTAATAAAATAATATTATTTTGCACAACTGTTCACTGTTCACTGTATTAAAATAATATTATTTCGCGTACTGAATTCTCGCTCAAGCGAAGAAAACCTTCGCTTGAGCGAGGAAACCTGTAACAAAGGGGTAATCTGGGGTAAATTCTCGCTCAAGCGAAGGTTTTCTCGCTTGAGCGAAAAGTATGATCGACTATTATCCAATTATAGTCGATCACTTTGACATATATGACTTTAGATAGCGGTTATTTGACCAACCGCTATCTAAACTACTACATAAGATAGCGGTTATTTTCCCAACCGCTATCTAATATAGTAGTTTAGATAGCGGTTGGCCAAATAACCGCTATCTAAAGTGACTCAAGCGAAAATCACACCGCTTGAGCGAGGACACCTGGAAACAAGGGGGACTCTCACGTTCTGTTTCGCTCGAGCAACGCGGACTTTCGCTCGAGCGACAAAGTGATTGAAATCTGTTTCAATCGATTATAACGTATTTCAATCGATTAAAATAACTTGGAAAAATTTTGTACAGAGTTTCAATCGATTAAAACGCGTTTCAACCGATTAATACAACTTCGAAAAAGTTTGTACAAAGTTTTAATCGATTAAAACTTCTTTTTATCAGCTAAAATAACTTGGAATGTTTTTATAAGAAAGTTTTGCAGTATATCAATCGATTAAAACACGAAACAATCGGTTGAATCAAACTTAAAAAAGTTTTGTAAAGTGTTTTAATTGATATAACCGTTGTAGTATCAGCTAAAACAAATCTGTTAAAGAATCAAGAACGTATTAATGGATTGAAAGGACTTTTAACAGATTGAAACGGCTATTTCAACAGATTAAAACAAACTGTGCAATGTGTCTAATGTGTCTAATGTGTCTAATGCAGTAGACTTGATTTTGGTTGTCTCATAAAATTCTGTGCAATGTGTCTAATGCAGTAGACATGCGTTGAATTATTTTCTGTCCATCCGTGTATGGGTAGTTACGTGTCTAATGCAGTACCCAAAATGCATGATGTCTAATGCAGTGTGTCTAATGCAGTACCCAAAATTCTGTGCAGTGTGTCATAAAATTCTGTGCAATGTGTCTAATGCAGTACCCAAAATGCATGATGGGTAGTTACGTGTATGGGTATTACGTGCATGGGGCATGCATTACGTGCATGGGTTTCTTTCAGTTTTTTTTCTGTTTTGTTCACGTTCTCTGTTCTACTCTGTTATTTGTTATTTCTACTGTATATAAACATTACAGTTTTCATACATCAATAAAAGGAATGTACTTCAGTTTCTATCTGTAGCTCTCCCATTTCAGATATAACGAGAGTCCCCCTTGTTTCCAGGTGTCCTCGCTCAAGCGGTGTGATTTTCGCTTGAGTCACTTTAGATAGCGGTTATTTGGCCAACCGCTATCTAAACTACTATATTAGATAGCGGTTGGGAAAATAACCGCTATCTTATGTAGTAGTTTAGATAGCGGTCGGCCAAATAACCGCTATCTAAAGTCATATATGTCAAAGTGATCGACTATAATTGGATAATAGTCGATCATACTTTTCGCTCAAGCGAGAAAACCTTCGCTTGAGCGAGAATTTACCCCAGATTACCCCTTTGTTACAGGTTTCCTCGCTCAAGCGAAGGTTTTCTTCGCTTGAGCGAGAATTCAGTACGCGAAATAATATTATTTTAATACAGTGAACAGTAAACAGTTGCACAAAATAATATTATTTTATTACGTGAACAAGAAACTGATGCTAGTTGTGTAAATAAAGTTGCGAAGTGCTATTTGGGTAAATATTTTTGAAAACAGTATTATTTATGAAAAAAGTCTAGTTTTGTTCTATTTTTCATTAAACAATTATTCTAACTAAATATAAAAATCAAATTTTTGGTTTAGTTTAATTTTAATTTAATATAAAATCTAAATTAATATTAGTAATATGATTTGAAATTATTGTTATTTCTTTATTATAAAACTCTTAAAAATTTGTAAAATATTTTCTTAAAAATTTGTTACATATTTTATAATAAAAATTGTCAAATAGAGTTTTATTGCAATTTTTTTTATGATTTTGTAAACTTTGATAAATATAAAAATATTAAACATCCTTTAAAAAGACCTTGTGTATTTTATTAACTGGTGATTAACTTTAAATATATAACATTATATTTAATTATAATAAATAATTTATTTCAATTTAATTTAGTTCTTGAATTTCAATTCAAGATTCTAATTAATTATAAGATTTATAAAAAATAGATTAAAAAAACTAATGAAATTTTCATTTTGATCTATTTTAAATTTTCTTAATAAATTTTTGGTTATTTTTGTAGTAGTTTAATTTTAAATATCCTTCTGATACGTGTATAACCAATAAATAGATTGAAGGGCTGAAAAAATATGATTAATTATCCCTTACGTGTTTACGACGCGGTAGAATATTTTTTCTCTTCATTTTGATTAAATGGTTCCATATACAAGGGATAGTTTGTTTTTCATAAAAAATTTAAAATATTTTATATCAAGATATATTATTTATATAGAAAATTTATTTGAAATTAAAATTTTAGGAATATATGACAATAAACTAAATACCTAATATTCGATAATTTTAAATTTTACATAAATTATTTTTTCTTCCTATCTATATAATTTTATTTTTATATTTTTCTTTTCAACTTATTTTCGGTGAAACATAGTCGATTATTTATTGGTTCGACGCCATTTATTTGACTTATGCCAACAAACTTTTCCATATTAATTTCAATCATGGTTATTTTTTATTGGTTATTATCTAGGTTATTGTTTTTACCATCATTATTATTTCTTAGTTGAATATTATTTGAGCAGTTATTAACGATTTTTTTTTTACTGATGTCAAACACATTTTTTTAGATTAATGTTAATTGTGATTATTTTTCATTGATATTAGTTTATTGTTTTCTTCATCGACATTGATATGAATGTAGGTTACAATTAATTTATGACCAATGTTAATCAGGGTTTTCTCACCAAATATTGATAGTTATATTTTGATATCAGTTTTTCTTTTTTTTTAACAGAAGCTAATGGTAGGAAATTTTTGCCAATAGAAGTAGGATTTTTTCTCCACATTTATAGTGATTAGTTTTTTATTGTTATTTTTATTATAAGAGAGGTTGTAATAATTATGTAAATTTGTAATTATTTTAAATATTATTTTTTATTAAATAAAGAGGTTATATTTTAGTGAAAAAATTTAAAGAAATTTTCATAGAATAATTAATAATTTATGAATGAGAAACATAATTTATAGAAAATAAATATCAAATTAAACGAATACACATTGAACGAGACTGACATAAAGAAAGATGGTGATCTCTGAATAAAATTATATTGTTATATATGAAAAAAAAATACAAGACATAAATCTATTAGATAAAATTTCAATTTTGTCTCATGATTTTTTATAAAGCATAACTAAAATAAATCGTGTTTAGTCTTAATGTTGATTATTTAAATCTTATTATTGTCAAATTTCATGACTAAGTTATGAACGAGCATATGATTTCATTATTCTAATTTTGTGATTTTGTTTTAATCTTTGAATTCTATTGACTTTGTAACTTTTTGGAATGGATCATTCTTGATGCATGATTGTTGGATGATTATCTTTTTAGACTTGAAAAAAATGTAGGTGGTATTATACAAAATCATTAGAACTTTAAAAAAGGGTCACAATTGGCTATAGCCACCAAAGTAAATTATTGTTTCAATGGGGCGAAGTTAGGGTTTTGAGAAAAACTTCATAGCTATGGTATGGAGAGAGAGAAAAATTGTTATATTACAAAATACAAGGGCTTAAACTGTATAAAAAACTTGATTAATGAAGTATTTACTATAATGATCTTATCATTACAAGTGAGTTAAGGTCAACATCCGTTGACAATATATTTTCTTGAAACGTTTTGGTTAATGACTTGATCACAAAGTGCTAAAGAAGTTATTGAAAAATATTCTTATCCCCAAGTCAAGAGTAGTCCAAAAATTATTAAACTTCCAAGTTTCTTAAGATACTCATTGGAGTCTTCTTTCAAAGAAAGATCCTTAATGGAGATCTAGGAAAAAATTACTCTCATTTGTAACCTAAGAGAACAAGATAACAAACAATATTTATTAACCGTGAATCGAATATCGAACATCCAAGAAATAACTATTTATGTAATATAATAATATATAAAAGTTATTTAAGTCACTCCTACTATTTAATCCAATTCTAATAAAGATATTTTTAAAGGAATTTCTTAATGAAAATAGTTTAAGAACAAAGATAAATATTTTAATCCAATTTTAATAAAGATATTTTTAAAAAATATTCTTAATAAAAAATGTTTAAAAATAAAGATAAATATTTTATTATGAACACATGAATAAATTACTTAAAAATTAATAATTTTTCTAAAATAACTTTCTTTGATTTTAAATAATTCCTATTTTACATCGTAATAAAATATTTAATTTTATTTTTAAATAACTCACTCCACTCCTTCCCAACATTGATATTTATACGATGTTGCAGCTAATTCTTTAGTTTGCCAAACATGTAGATAGTGACTAGTCACATCAAAAGGAGTTCCAGGACAGCGATGGATTTCTCGCATGTACCCTAACATCTTCAACAGGTATTCATACAGCATTTCTGACAGTACATAATGGCCAATGTTTCAAACATAAGTACACATATGACCTTACCTTGCAACTTAAAAACCATGTTATGAAGCTACGCGTGGGAATCCCACCTATGTTAGTTCAAAGTGTTAAAGTATTAATTTAAACTTTTAATCACATGAAAATATTGAAAATGAAATAAGCGAAGAGGGAAAAAAATGATCACGTATTCTAGGGCCTTCCTAAATGTCTATGATGTTAAGCTACACATTATGAAGGTATTTGTTTATGTGCCGCAACTGGGTTTTCTGCTGGTGTCATAACTGCACTACCCTGGGGAAGTTTCACCGCCGTTTCTTCCTTTGCAGGACTTCCACCTACAATTTCAGGGTTACCATTATTACTTGAAACTGCAGTCTCATCCAGCTGCAATATCACAGATGACATCTTATCTTTTATATTACCAGCAGGATTTTCTCTCCCAAAATGTGCCATGGAATCTGAGACTTGTGTTTCTGACAACTTTTGAGACGGAGGTTCATGACTTGATCCAGCCATGAATGTTGGTGCTTGTATCTGATCAGCCACAGGACATGACAGTGGTGCTATTGGCAGTACTTGGACATTGGATAGCACAGTCGCAAGGAGTTGAGCTAGAAGGTTCCGTGGATCACTAGTTCCCAGTGGGACACTAACACCTTGTTGGACTGGAAAATTATTTGCATTTGACACAGTACTAATATCAGGAGACTGAATTGGTTTGATCCCTGCTTCGCCATTCAAAGCCTGGTAACCATGGACACGCTTGAAATTTGACATGTGCTTTTTTCCTGTCAAATGACTATTGTAGACAACTTGGGAATCACATTTGACATTGCACAACTCACATATGAGAGATGTAACCTGCTTATGCTTAGGCTTTCGAGGTTCCACTAGTTTTCTTGAGCCATCATCACTCCTCATATATTTACCTCCTCTGCCTCCGCTCATCAGACGCTTGAATCCATGTCCTTGTATGGAAGAGTTTTCTCTAGGTTCCTCCTGAGGCTCTTCAGTTTTAACCTCAACTTCATTATTCTGAAGCTCAGTTTCATCATTGTGACTATCAATTGGAGCTTCAGAACCCACTTTTTCTTCTGCTAATCCTTTTATCGCAGATTCAACTTTCTCAGGTTGGATTGTTAAATTTGATTCAGAAGTAAAAATATTTTCACTCTGTTGTCCGTTTAGAGCTTTGAGTCTTTGTACTTCTTCATGAACTAGCAAGTTCTTCCTATGCCGCTTTCCATTTGTATGCTGCTCCAACATTTCTGGAGTATTGCACTCGGCCTTGCAAATTTCACACCATAACTTACGTGGTGGTGCCTGAAATGGTGCAGATGGAACTTGTGCGGGATTAGGTAATGATGATTGCCCAGAGACTGATGATGGTTGCATCACCGAAGTGGCCCCATCAGCAGCAGGCACATCTGGTTCATTAGCAATAGTGGCTTCAGAAGAATGAGATGAGATCTGTCTACCAGGACCCCTACCACGTCCCCTACCACGGTGGTGATTGAATCGACCACGACCATAGCCTCTAAATGATCTACCACCCCTGCGACCTGTGCCTCTGTATTGAGATGGCACAATCTGCAGATAAGCATTCAAATATGAACTCAAGCATACATAAATTGGTTGGAGATTCCAAATCTTAGATACAAAAAATATATGCAAGATTGACGTGGAAGATTAAAAAAAAAATGTGCATATATATAAGTGGCACCATAATCACAAGGGAAGGTAGTTTGGGTTGAGAGAGAGAGAATGACCAAAAAAAGAGAACAATTTAACATAAGAACTCTGAGTAGGGAAGCATAGAACTTATAGCACTTGCCCTTATATTTAATTAATTAGGAAAGCAATTCCTGATAAGATACGGAAACTTTTGGACAGAAAGTAAGTTTTAAAATGTCAAAAACATAGTGGATAGACAATGATCAGACAGAGACTACATTCAAGGAAGCCTTTATATTTATGCTTATCTTCTTAGCCTATCAAAATTTTAAAATGAAACATTAACTAGGTTTCTTCTAATTCCATCTACTTCATTGAAAATGAAATGCCTGTAGTGCTTACTTAGCAAGGAACCTTTTCATAAGCTCTACTAGAATCCCAAGTTGCATAATGAAAAGGAAAACAACTTGATTTGATCATGAACCTCAACTGCTTTCATTCACTTTTCTTTGCCCGCTGCAAAAAAGATGCAGACTCAGCAGTTGGATCCAGAATTCAATAATGTTGCTATGTTCCTACACCTAGTCTAATTGATCTCCTAATAAATCAGTATATTTTTGTCGGAAAATATAGAAACAACAAACAAATATTCATGCAAGAAAGTGCCCCTTTTTGGAAATAAGGTTGATTGTTGTTGATATTCCATATGATAAAGATGGATTCCCTCATTATGTTGAGATAATATCCAAGTTCAAAGATCAATTCTTCAAAATTTTTAAATAACGAACCACCCACCCACCAGAGGTTTTGACAAATCCGTAACCATCAGTAATATTATCAACCTCAACATACTATAGTCTTGATCGAACAATCCTTGACAAGTACATATGAGGTCCCCAAAATATGCTCAATGATCCCCGCCCCATCCATCCCGGCCCCCCAAAAGTCCTCTGACAGAAGAAGAAAGAAAGGAAATAAAAAATAGTGCATACAATGCATAACAGTGAGGGTAAAGTTTTCTTTCCCCTGAAGGTAAGCCACAACACAATTGTATATAAAGGCCAGGAAGTTTAGAGAACTAAGAGAAGTGGCTCAACATGAAAACATTTACAAGCCACATTCAAACCCACAAATCAGAACCAGAAATGTTAAATATATACGGGTATTTTTATGCAAAGCAATTTGTTTTGTAAGAGAACAGCAAAGAATGACCTAACACCCACATTGGTTCCAAAGTAATCAGAACAGAATCACCACCTTGCAATGTATCAAAGGAAAGAGCCATAATACTTGTGAGCTGATACAATGTAAATATTGTCTTTATCTTTGATCCCTCTTGGGAGCTATAGCCTGAAGCCAAATTCTTATAATACTCAACATCCTCTGAAAGTTTAGAGGAAAAACAGAGGTTTAATACCTATACAGAATTGACATTTAGTCCAGAGAAATCCCCGACCTGAGAAAAATCTATCGCAAAATACTGGAGTTCCTTTCAATAATCTCATATAATCCCACATGTTTACAAGGCTGTTAAGTCATTCCCTCGTCCAGTCTCCCATAGGTGAGTGCTGTATATAAAACTAAGCACTATCTTATTGTGAGAAAGAGAAATCAGTCTCGACCATTGAACTTTATATTAATGGTTAAGACTGCAAGTAACTAAGATCCACCTAGTAGGGTTTGGGCAGGATAGATGTACAGTGTCATAGCCTTACCCACCAGCAAAAAGGTTATTTTCAGAATCTAAACTCATGCTCTCTAGGTCGCTAGGCAGAGAGAAAGGGTACTAGGCATTTTACAGAAGCACTCATGTGAAATTACAAGATAATTTGGGAAGTAGTGTCTTTATACTAATTTATGAAGAAGCTTTAAGAGTGTTAAAAGGAAGACGATAATATTATCATGAAAATATAATTGCATGTAACAGAAAAAATTGAATATTTGGAAAGATTATTGTTACCATCACACTTAGATTTTGGGTGAAGACTGAGGCGAAGCATATCTTATAACCGGGAAACATTACATCACTAATGTTACTCAATTTAAAGCCAATTCAAATGCACAAAGACCCCATAAATGATTTCTGTTTCCCATAACATTTTCCTATACTTTACATAGGTCACCTCATGTTGAACTTCTTCTTTTCAATTTGCACCCTTCAACTTCAATATGAAGTCAACAATATAAAGCTGGCCACACTCTTCCATATAGTTCCATCATGACGTTACAAGTTCACTATGCTAACAGCAACAAAAGCGATAGAAATTTAAATGGATGTGTAAAAAAAATTTCAATACAAGTTATGGCTTACAAGAACCCTATATGAGAATACACAAGGCAAAGTTATAAACGTCAACCAAATATGTTGTTAAACTAACCAATTCCAGGAAATACTCGAAGAACTAGAAGAATAAGAAATCTAATGAAAGTTCCAAAAAGAATGTATTCAGAAGAAGAAGAAGAATATGAAAGAATTACAATGAATGTCCCAAAAACTATCTATTTTCATGCAACAGTAGTTGCATTTATAACCCACTAACTCAACTGTTTACTAACAACTTATTAAAAACATATTTGACAACATTACCCTTCTCTTGCCAGCATCCTTGTCCTCAAGGATGGAAACCTGTCTATAAGGATGAAATTTTATGTAAACAAAATCATCAATCTGAAATCGTCTATCACTCCTATGTGTTAGCCACCTACTTCATCCTTTCTTGTGCTCTTTCCAAATGGAACTTTGATGAGTTTTAACATCCCTTCTCTCTTGGGTAGTTGCCCCAGAAAAGGAAGAGGGATTGGAACTAGTTGCCCATACATGATCTCATATGGAGTGGGCTTAGTTGCAACATGGTAAGAAGTATTATACCACCACTCATTTAGAGGTAGTCTCCTTGACCACAGGTGTGGAGAGTCAGTACACATACATCTTAGATACATCTTAAGGCACCTATTTACCACCTCCATTTGACCATTGGTCTAAGGATGATAGTTGGACAGTTTGCACTTGACCCCCCTGCCAGCACATGAACTCTAGCCAAAACTGTTTAATAAAGATGGAGTCCCTGTCCCTCGTGATGGAACTGGGAAACTCGTGGAATTTAAACACGTTGTCCATGTAAGCTTGAGCAACATCACTAGTAGAAAAAGGATGAGATAAAGCCATAAAACTTTGTATCAGTTGCTAAGCCATTTGGATTTGAGAAGCAGTTCCACTGATTTCAACTGTCATCTCTCTAGGAACACCTCTTGTTTCCTATATGGTAACAGTAGCCCCACTAGCTCTTTTGATGTACCTTATACTCGCTCCTTGATGGGGTTGTCTTTCAACTAGATGAGGGATCTCGGCTGTTAGATAATAACTTTCGAGTTGTTGTGGAGGTGGCATATATTGAGAAGCAGGTCCAAAACCAAGACCTCCATCAGCATTTAGAGAAAGACCCTAAGGTGGACCCCAAGATTGGTGGGGTGGCATGTGGTCGGCGTGATGGGGATTTGTTATTTTCATATTCATTTTAAAAATTGGAATTACACTATGATCAACTAAAAACTTCCTTAAATGGGAAGCAATTAACTTTAATGCCTTATGCACTCCAGTATGATCCCGTACTACTTCAACCACCCTATGATCTTGAAGAGTAAAAATTGGGAGGTCTTTTTCTCCAAGAACTCTGACAATTTTAAAACGAGTTCATGTCTTCTCCACAATTTTCTTAATGAACTCTCCTGTACGTCCAATTATGCCCCCAACCTTTTGTGCAGAAACTAACATCCGACACACACTCTCCCCAAGCCACCTAGGCCACTTCTGAGTAACAATCGCCTCTTTGCCACCGTGTACTTCTGCCTCAACTGTTTCCTCCACCTCATGCTCACTGCCGGTATTCTGATCCACTTCAGGCATTGAGGTTTTCACTGAAAAAGGGAGAAAATTGATTCTTGCCAATCTTGTTCCGCAAGAATAGGAGGATGAGTGCCTCTTGAACCTACCCCATTGTGTGATCCTCCTACATCATTATTGCTCTACTTCAATCGTTCCGGAACCTAATCTTTAAGAGACTCGCCAAGTGTCTTTTGAATCGACCTTACAAGCTCCATCAATCTAGATTCTAACCTTGAACACAAACGTTCTTCCATCTCCTTGAAGGCCATTGCGTTACAAGTAGTTTCCACCATTGATACAATACTCTGAACGGATCGCCCTAGCTGATATCAATTGTTGTAAAACTAACCAGTTCTAGGAAATAATACTCAAAGAACTAGAATAACAAGGAACCCAATGGAAGTTCCAAAAGAATGTATTAAGAAGAGGAAGAAATTACAATGAATGTCCCAAAAACTATCTATTTTCATGCAACAACAATAGTATTTATAACCTACTAACTCAACTGTTTACTAACAACTTATTAAAAACATATTTCATGATAAAATATGAATCCAATTGTTAAGACTAACCAATTAATCATCAAAAGAAAGTCGAGAAACATAAGTCACTCATTTCAGTAGCTTCTGATTGCAAAAAATGTTATAGTTATGCAATATTCAAATTCATATCCGAGACACAAGTCTAGCATGGCAGAGATTCAACCCCAGATAATGTATATGACCGGAAGAACAAAACACCAATGTACATATTCATATACATCATCTCATAAAACATTTAATAAAAAAACAAAACAAATAGAAGCACCGACCAGAAGATTTTCATTTAAAAGGATGGCTACAACATCGTTACCCACTACCTATGACATCCCACTCAAAGCGACACAAAAGTTCAAAATGTAATATGCTATTCCTTCCTATACGCTATGAATTAACCAATTAATTGTGAATGAGAAAAGAAAATAGTGTAAAATAAATAAACTGATCTCATTCACTTTACCAGTTCCCTTTGTAACCCGTCATCGTTCCCCACAAGCTGCGCGAGAGCTCCCGCTACGACTGCCACTGCCGCAGGGTTTAAGGAACCAGGTGTAAACTTTCTGTAGTTTTCCTACGTTCTTAATTCGTTATAGAAAACTACTCTACAGGATCTTTAGATTATTGATTTTCACATTTGCATACATCAATACATGAATATAGTAAGAGAACTAACCTTGATCCATGAGAATCCTTTATTGATCTTTTCGTTCTCCAATCTCCTTTTCCCAATCTATCTCTTTGCCTTTCTTTCTCTTCTCACGCTTCGCTTTCTAGATGGTTTACCGTGAAAAAGACCTTATGGCCAGAGACAGAACCCTAATCCCTTTTATTAACCAACGTCCATCGAGTTGGTTACATTCAGTTAATATTTTATTTTATCTTTATTTTATTCTGACTTCACATAATAACCAATAGGTCCTTATAATTATTAAATCACATTTAGGCCCTTTATAATATTTCACATGAGTCACATAATGGAATGAATTAATTAAAAATTAATTCTAACATTCTCCCACTTGACCCATGTGATGTCATACGATTCTGTGATTTAATACTTAAGTCATAAAGCGCATTTAAGGACCTTACATAAATTGATTCTATCATTATTCATAATTAAAGATACAGACTATAACAAGAGTCATGGCGGTTACATATCATTCAATCGACAGTGCTCCCTTCCATGTACCACTATATTATCTCTTTCTCCTTAATATGACTTTATAATGAGAAGTCCATAATGGGTTCAAACATAATATCATTTTAAAATAATAACATAATTTGTTTTCTTCATCATAATTTGCATGCATATAAATAAAGAAGAAAACACAAATTTCGAAACTTATACATTAAAGATCTCGAGTGTCATATAAACATTAATAATAACATTAACATTCAACATTCATTACTAGTAAACATAATGCCCATATTTACTATATGGCCAAGCAAACAACTTGGGCGGTAATCCCTTTGTTAGAGGATCAGCAATCATAAGATCAGTGCTAATATGTTCTATTGACACTCTCTGTTTCGAACTTCTTCTTTAACAGCAAAGTATTTCAATTCCATATGCTTAGCACCTTTGGAATACCTGTCGTTCTTAGAAAAGAAGACTGCTGCGGAATTGTCACAATAAATTTTCAGCGGCTTGGCAATGTTGTCGACTACTCCAAGTCCTGAAATAAAATTCCGCAACCAATTAGCTTGAACTGTGGCCTCAAAGCATGCCACAAATTCAGCCTTCCATGGTGGATGCAAGAATGACAGATCGCTTCGCACTTTTCCATGAAATCGCTCCTTCAGCTAAAAGATACACATAACCAAATGTTGACTTTCGTGTATCCTTACAACCAAAGAAAATCTGAATCTGTATATCCAATCACCTCAAGGTGATCAACTTTCCTATAAGTAAGCATGTGATTCTTTGTTCCTTGTAAGTATCTCAAAACTTTCTTTGCAGCCTTCCAATGATCCAAATCCGAGATTACTCCGGTATCTACCAAGCATACCAACTGCAAAGCTAATATCCGGCCTCGTACATGTTTGAGCATACATCAAACTCCCAACAACAGCATGCATAAGGGATATTTTCCATCTGTTTCCGTTCCAAGTCATTCTTTGGACATTGCATAAGACTAAATTTGTCTCCTTTCGTATTGGAACGGGAGATGCTGAACACTTCTCCATTCCGAATCTCTCTAAAACTTTATTAATATATGCTTTCTCGAGACAAACCTAACAAGTCCTTGTGATCTATCACTGAATATTTCTATTCCTATCACATAGTATGCCTCACCCATATCTTTCATTTCAAAGTTGTTAGAGAGAAACTTCTTAGTCTCACTTAATAGACCAAGATCATTAGTCGCAAGCAAGATATCATCAACATACGAATCGAAATATAAACTTACTCCCACCGACCTTCGATATATACACCGATCAACAAGTGTTTTCCTTAAATCCAAAGGACAAAATAGTATCATTGAACTTAAGATACCATTGTCGAGAAGCTTGTTTAAGTCCATATATTGATTTCTTAAGTTTACACACCATATGTTCCTTTCCTTCTTCAATAAACCCCACTCGGTTGATTCATATAAACATCCTCCTCTAAATCTCCATTCGAAAAGCAGCTTTAACATCCATTTGATGCAACTCAAGATCATAATGAGCTACTAATGCCATGATAATTCTAAAGGAATCTTTCTTAGAAACAAGTGAAAATGTTTCCTTATAATCAATGCCATCTTTCTCGAGTAAAACCTTTGGCAACAAGTCGGGCCTTGTAACGTTCGATATTGCCATGAGAGTCACGCTTAGTCTTAAAGACCCATTTACACCCAACACTCTTACATCCTTCCGGCAATTCCACAAGATCCCATACACCATTCTCGTGTCATTGATTTAAGCTCATCTTTCATAGCATCTAACCATTTATCGAATTATCATCATTAATGGCATCCGAAAATGAAACTGGGTCATTATCAATACTTAGGTCATTTTCTCGACTCTTGTAGATAAACCACGTAATCATTTGAAATAGCAGACTTTCTTTCTCTCGTGAGATCTTCTTAATACTATTTCCTGTGGTTGTTCTATTATCGGATCATTGTTTATCTCAGGATCATTAATTTGTTGTTCTTCTTGATTGTCGTGTGATTCTACAACATTTGGAACAACAACTCTTGAAGATGTACTAGTTATTGGAACTTGTACTCTAATTTCCTTAATCTCCACATTTCGTGAAGCTTCACTCCCACTCGGTTTCACCATTCTCAATGAACCGAGCATTTCCAGCTTCAACAATTCTTGTACTATGAGTAGGACAAGAAAACATATACCCCTTTGATTTTTCTCGGATAACCAATGAAATATCCACCGATTGTTCTTGCATCCAGCTTTCTTTTCTTGCGGATTATAAATTCTTACTTCGCCTCGACAACCCCAAACATGTAGGTGTCTTAAACTCGGGTTTCCTACTTGTCCATAACTCAAAAGGAGTCTTTTGAACCGCTTTACTAGGAACCCCGTTCAACAAATACATGGCAGCCTTCAAAGCATACATCCACAACGATACAGTAAACATGAATTACTCAACATACTCCTAACCATATCCATTAAGGTTCGATTACGCCTTTCGGACACACCATTTTGTTGCGGTGTGCCTGGCATTGTGTATTGAGCACAAATACCACGCTTCTCGAGGAACTTAGCAAACGGACCGGGGTGTTGTCCACTTTCATCATATCTTCCATAATACTCACCACCTCTATCCGACTCGACAATTTTCACCTTTCCGTCTAATTGCCTCTCCACTTCGTTTATATAACTTTCTAAGGCATTTACTGCTTGAGATTTCTCATATAGTAAATAGACATATCCATAACGCGAGAAATCGTCAATGAAAGTGATGAAATACTTCTCTTTATTAAAAGAATTTACGTCAAATGGACCACATATATCGAGTGTGTATGATTTCAAGAAGTTGAGTGCTTCTTGTGGCTCCTTTCTTTGTGTGTTTTGTTTGTTTACCTTTAATACAATCCACACATACATTCAGATCAGTAAAATCTAAATCCGAAGGATTTCATTCTTTACTAATCTTTGCATTCTTTCTTTGGAAATATGTCCCAAACGCTTATGCCACAAATAAGCAGATCTTTCATCCACCAAACTACGTTTAGTGCCAACATTATGATGCAAGGTCATGAGAGTTTCAAGCATATAAATTATCCAAATTCAATTTATATAAACCATCATAAAGTGTACCAGTTCCAATCATACATGTACGCTTAAATAAACTGAAACAACTATTCCCAAACTTAAAAGAGTATCCAACGAACATCGAGCTTAGACAAAGAAACTAAATTTCTAGTGATACTAGGTACATAAAAAGTATCCATAAGGTCTAAGTGATATCCAAGTGTCAAGGATTAAACGATAAGTCCCGACAGCCTTCCACTCGGAACCTTGACTTTATTCCCCATGAAGACGAACTTCTCATTTGGGTTTATGGTTCGGGTTGAAAGGAATCCCTGCATCACATTAGAAACATGAGTTGTACATCCGAATCAATCCACCAAGTATTATGGGGAACTTCGATTAAATTTGATTCAAAACATACGTAAGCACTATGCTCACCTTTCTTTTCGAACCAAGCTTTACGCTTTAAGCGAATCCTTCCGAAAATGTCCGGACTTCCCGCGAAATGACATTTGTCATTTTTCTTCCGAATGTTAGTAGATGACTCGTTAATCTTTAATGGTCCTTTACCCTTTCCATGTTTCTTAACAACTTTCTTTTTAGCTCCTTGATTTTTCACGTAATGAATAGAGTGGCTTCCTAGGTTCTTGAGTCCGGTCTCCTCCTGGACTAACATACTCGTGCAATTCATGCACATTCCATTTATCTTTCATGGTGTTATAGTTCATCCGAAACGGACCATACTCGAGCGGTAACGAGTTCAAAATGAACTGCACAAGGAAATTTTCTTCCACTCGCCATTCCAAGAGACTTTAGTCTTGTCTGCGATATTAGTCATTTCGATTACGTGTTCATGCATACTACGAGAACCATCAAACTTCATGGTGGTCAACGTACTCATCAATGTCCCAGACGAGGGATTTGTCGCCAGTTTGAGAGCGCTCTTCCACAAATTTCATGAACTCTTTCGCATCCTCGGCTTTGGGAAGAGCAGATTTAATATTGCTTGCTACACTCATTCGCATAAACATAAGGCTAAGTCGGTTTGATCTTTCCCAAGCTCTATAATGAGTTTTCTCTTCATTACTACTAGCATCGGTGATAGCAGATCGGTTTTTCAACTTGGAAAGCCAAATCAAGATCCAACACACCTAAGTGAAATTGGACTTGTTCACTCCAGATCAGGGAAATTTAACCCATTAAAGACTCGGAACGGACGAAGATAGCGAATGCAGAGCTACAGGAACAGATACTCGCAATTACCACATGCCTAACATTAATACTTTGAGTCATAAAATTAAACATAAATACAGATTCAACCATAAATTACCATTCTCTCGCATACTAATGTTCTCCTTTGGGAGATCCACCAATACACAAACATAATTACGCTAACCATTTTATAACATTAATGATAATTAAAATATGCATCAACTAGAATCACTTAATACCTTTGGGTATTTAAATAAAACTAGTGACGCACAAAAATTATCTACCTTCATGCTCATTAATTATAATAACAATTAATCAACCTTTGGGTGATCCTGAAATGTCTTATAATAATGAACTTCAATTAACCCATAAACCAATTATTCATAATTTTAGCGCTCATACTATGGGTAATTGAAATAAAATCACTAATAATTTGAAATTAAAATAACCTTAAAATTTTGGCCACTTTGGTGACTAACAAAATTTATCATGCTTAATTTCAAATAAATACCATCTTTAATTGCTATTAACTATTCATAACATTTTTCATTAATTTTAATTTATCAATAACAAAACATAACATTATTATTATAAATTAAAATTCATTCCTTTTATAATAAAATAAAATTATAAAAGAGAATTCTCCTCCACAAGTAACATTCACATTTCACATTCATACTTAAATTGGATTTTAACACTCGAACCCCGATTCACAGTAGACATATGCCTGCAGTAAACCATATCCGAGTGCATGGAAAAAGAAATTTATCTCGGGAAGGAGAAAAGAACCCCAATGGTGCATTAAGAGAGCTTCCAAAGGACCTTATTTGGGCAAAATTACTAACGCCCGCTTAAGATGATTTCTCATCGGACTTTTCCGTCTCCCATCATCGCTATGGAGAACGATGACGGTGGTGCAGCCTTGTGGTTGAGGCGAAACGCTCAACACGCAGGTGTCCAAGACGGAGGAGAAAGGGGTTTAAACGGCGTTGTATCAAGGCCAGAGAATCAAGTATATAGATTTCCTTAAACGATTTTCTTAAAGCATTTAAAGTCAAGTACGCACGTTTGCAATTAATATGATAATTAAAATCACACATTAATTCTATACTGGACTACGTGATACTTTCAATTATACACGTGAAATATTTCAATTACCCAGGGTTCCCCCAACTTGCATCATTAATTAATTGCAGCGGAAATTAATTGCATTATAAATTACGTGTGCATTGACGCCAAACAGTAAAATACCTAAATTTTATTTTCAATTAAGGATTGCATAACCATTGAAACTCATAAATTATCAAATTGATTTCAATTTGAAATTAAATGCAACCTTATCCATAAATTAGGGCTTATCCTTTTATTCAATTTTGGGAAAAGATAAATTTGGGAATAATTAGGGTTCACGTTAATCCGATAAAAATTCCTAAATTCATAATTAGGGTTTATCTTAATTTGGGAAAAACTATCATAAGAGGAAAATCATAAATCTAATAAACATGCTCTGATACCACATGTAAACTTTCTGTAGTTTTCCTACGTTCTTAATTCGTTATAGAAAACTACTCTACAGGATCTTTAGATTATTGATTTTCACATTTGCATACATCAATACATGAATATAGTAAGAGAACTAACCTTGATCCATGAGAATCCTTTATTGATCTTTTCGTTCTCCAATCTCCTTTTCCCAATCTATCTCTTTGCCTTTCTTTCTCTTCTCACGCTTCGCTTTCTAGATGGTTTACCGTGAAAAAGACCTTATGGCCGGAGACGTAACCCTAATCCTTTTATTAACCAACGTCCATCGAGTTGGTTACATTCAGTTAATATTTTATTTTATCTTTATTTTATTCTGACTTCACATAATAACCAATAGGTCCTTATAATTATTAAATCACATTTGGGCCCTTTATAATATTTCACATGAGTCACATAATGGAATGAATTAATTAAAAATTAATTCTAACACCAGGAACAGGCCCAGGGTGGACCGGGTTCAGCGCGTGGGAGGTTGAGGGTTCAGCAGAATGAGACGGTTCAGGGGCGTTTGGTATCGAATTGGGGTGTTGTTGGAAATGGGGTTGGTTATCATGTGTTCTATTCTTATCATTATTATTATCATTATAGGGATAATAAGGCTGTGCTGATTGATCAAAAGATGGAGTTGGAGACCGGTCGTTGCCATGTTGTTGTTGCTGTTGTTGTTGGTAGCCAGAAGAATCCATAGATGCAAAAAAATAAAAAATAAAAACAGAGATTTTGTTGTGTAGGAGGTTGAGGGTGTTGCTGCAGTGTAGTGTTTTTCATGACACTGCTAAGATACAGGCGCAGCCGCAACAACTTTGTCACGGCTTCTCTTAGGTATTTCACTGTGCGGTCTTATCATTGAAATCCTGTAACTTCGCTTAATTATAGTTTCAACTAACATTGATATTATTATTTAGATCTGAATCCACACTACGCATTTTTTTTATATATATTTGTGTTATTTGGAATTCTCTTCAACCTGAATTCTAAACTAGTTTTATTTTATTTTTGTTGGTATTTTAATATAATCTTATATTTACTATTACTTTTTAATTTTTACTTTATAAATCATATGTACGTAAAAATGTTGATGAAATTTTACAATTTGGAGAGATTTTGATTTAGATACCGTGTCGTTAAAAGTGATTATATATCACATGTATTTAGATGCAAAATGAATGGTCTAAAAGACAGAAAAGAAATAAACCTACCAACATAAATAATAACAATTTTACTAACGTGGGTGATAATTAGTTAATAATATACAAGTGATTTGTTTACAAATCATTGTATTAATATAATAACACTGACTTGCTTATAATTCATTTTATTAATATAAAAATATATATTGAGTTGAATTAGTTTTAATTTTTTTTAATATTTTTGTTTATAAAATAGGAGTTTGAGTTGCATATAAATTATTAAATAATCATAATTTTCTATTTTAAAATAATCAAAGTATATATATTTTTCTCTTTTTTTTTCTTGATAGGTCATTAAAGTATGAATGGTTCATTTGATAATTATATATAATTTTTTAGTCAAAAGACAAGGATTATGTATTCTCATAAGTGTGACCTCGATTTTCATCTTGATGCTTGATAATTATGGTTGGCAAATTTTGGGTCATGTATATATATGAAACATAATTTAAATGTGTTAGAGTCATTATTTATTAAGCCAAATAATAAAGTGATCTGAATAAATTAAAGTTTTGGCTAAAGGCATATGAAAATAAATTTGTGTAGAGACCATAGAGTAATTTCTAATTTGATGAGAGGTCAAATTGGAAATACTAAAACTTAAGTAATTAACCTAATTTTGGTTATTTTAAGGGGTCATGGTCCCCTTCTCGGAGCACGTAGACGGAACACAGTTACAGTCCCGTTCTTTTCTTTCTATCCCCATCAAGAGAGAAAATCAAGAGGAAAATACAGGTGTTCTTCAGGTGGAAGACCATAAGATCAATAGTGCTCTAAAAGGGACATCATCATTATGACTAATTCAGGTACGTTTTCGCATTTAGTTTACAACATGTTTATGAGTATGAGATTACTTTATATTTGATCATTAGATTGAAGATCATAATTAATTACAATTTATCTAACAATTGGTATCAGAGCAACTCATACTTAATTCATGTTTGTTTTTGGAAATTACATTTAATAAAATTTAGATTCTATTCTATTTAATTCAGAATCTTAGATGGAGAATAATCTCCAATTTTCATAAACCCTAAATTCAAATTTGGGGGTAAATTCCCAAATTTTAAACCTAATTTCGAATTTGGGGTAAATTCCCAATTTCTCAATTCTAGCGAGAAGAGAACAGAACCACCACAGTGCTTGTCAAGGCTGGTTTGAAAAATGGCGTTCTTAAATAAAATAGGAAATCTACTCAAGAATTCTGCTGTCAAGCACATGAATAAAGATTTTTCTGTGTCTAGCCCTTCACTTTGGCAAGCAATTAGATCCATGTCATCTGCAAAGCTTTTTGTCGGAGGAATTTCTTATAGCACTGATGATATGAGTCTGCGAGAAGCTTTTGCTCGCTATGGAGAAGTAATTGATGTGGTCCGAAGAATCCAATATGACAGTCATAGAGTGGCTACTTGGAGCGATGAATCGCTTTTGTCGCAGATTAGATTCCCTCACATTTACGTTTCTAAAACACCTTAACTCTAATAATTTTGAATGCGCCTTAATTCTAATAATTTTGAATGCGCTTCCAATCACGTGCACCTGTGTTTTGTCACATGAGTTGAAGTGCTAAGTTTTCAGATATTGAAATTAAGGAATTAATATTTTTAATGGAAAATAATTGCAGTGGTGGTCCGCGCCATTATAATTTTTTTTTTTAAAATAAATAATCAAATTTTGGTTTTGTTATATAATATTCAAATTTTTTGGTAGTTTAATATTTTTTTTTGAGCAAATTGAGTTAAGAAGTTACCAAAGTAACATCTCTTGAATTGGGTAGTTCGTAAAAAATATTGAATATTAGTGTTTGTGTATATTCATGCGAGTATTAGTCGGCCCAAAGAAAGATTAATATTTGGCCGAATTGCATACACACTTGTAATGATAAACATATGATAATTATAAGGATTTGCTTTGTCGATGATAAATCAATCCAAAGATTGGTTTGTTGTTGGACGTGTTTTATTGTCAATGTTTGATTATTACAACAAGATAACTCTAGCAGTTAATATTACTGTCCAAAGACTTGATATTGATGGTGCATTGAGTGTCTTGAGATGGGTTAAACTATTATTTGAATATTTATAATTACTTATTTTTTATAATGTGAGTATAATTAATTTATTTCTCTTGTTCTTAATTCAGCTACAATTGTTTATGTATCTGCCAATTTAAATTCGGTTCTGATCCTCAAAACTATGTTTCCTACTTTGGTTTGTTCTGAAGTCAATTTAGCGTCAGTACCCAGTAACACTTGGTGGTTAGACTCAGGTGCAACTACTAACATCATTGTTTCTATAAAGGGTTGCCTAAGCTACCGGAAGTCAATTGATTCTGAAAGATGGATATATATTGGAGATGACAAATCGGTAGAGGTGGAAGCTATAGGGCATTTTAAATTGTTATTGAGTACTGGTTTTTATTTGGATTTGAAAGACACTTTTGTTGTGCCGTCATTTAGACGGAATTTGGTTTCAGTTTCTTATCTGGACAAATTAGGTTATTTGTGTTCATTTGGAAACAATAAGTTTAGTTTGTCTTTTAATTCAGATATTGTCGGAACTGATTCACTTTTGCCTTATGATAATCTGTATTTACTTGATACTGTGACCACCTATAATGAAACCCTTAATACAGAATCACGGGGTACTAAACGTAAAATTGATGATACTCACTCAGGAGGATTATGGCACAGGCGATTAGGTCACATCTCTAAAAATAGAATTGAACGACTTGTGTCAACTGGAATTTTAGAGTCAATTGACTTCACAAAATTTGATGTTTGTGTTGAATGCATTAAGGGCAAACAGACCAAAGCAAAGAGATTAGGTGCATATAGAGCTACAGACGTCTTAGAGTTGATACATACGAACATTTGTGGGTCATTTCCTACACCTTCGTGGAATGGTCAACAATACTTTATATCATTCATAGACGATTACTCACGATATGCATACTTATTCCTTATACATGAAAAGTCACAATCTCTAGACGTGTTCAAAATATTTAAAGCTGAAGTTGAAAATCAACTCAATAAAAGAATTAAGTTTGTCAGATCTGATCGTGGTGGTGAGTAATATGGCAGATTTGACGGGTTAGGTGAATAGCGTCCAGGACCTTTTGCCAGGTACCTAGAGGAGTGTGGAATTGTCCCACAGTATACCATGTCGGGATCACCTAGCATGAATGGTGTAGCTGAAAGACGAAATCGAACTCTTAAAGATATGGTCGGGAGTATGATTTGTCATTCCACCTTACCGAGTCACTGCGGGAGAGGCACTAAAGACGACAGTTTATATTCTGAACAGAGTACCAACTAAAGCAGCGACCAAAACACCTTATGAGCTTTGGACTGGGCGACAACCTAGTTTGAAGCATTTCCATGTGTGGGGTTGTCCAGCTGAGGCAAGGCCTTATAAGCCAAATGAAAAGAAATTGGACTCACGAACAGTAAGTAGTTATTTTATTAGTTATGCTGAAAGATCCAGGGGATATAAATTTTATGATCCCACATTAAAGACAATTTTTGAGATGGGAACTGCTACGTTCTTTGAGGATATTGAGTTTGGGAGGAAGAATAAAATCAGGAACTTTGTCTTGGAGGAAGAATTGGTAACAATTCCAGAACCAATTCAAACAATTACTTTTGATAAAGTAAGTTCAGAACCTCCACAAGACATTGTTAATGAACCCCTTACTCAAGATGATTTGGTTGTTCATGAAGAATAAACTCAAGATCCTCAAGAACCTGTGCATCATGAGCCAATAACTTTGCGGAGATCCACTAGAGAAAGAAGAAGTGTTATTTCGGATGATTACATGGTATTTCTTCAAGAACATGAGGAAAACAATGGTATGATGGAAGATGACCCAGTTAACTTCCGTCAAGCCATGCAAGGTTCTAACTCTGAAAAGTGGATTGAAGCAATGAAGGAGGAGTATAAGTCCATGCAAGACAACAAGGTTTGGGAACTTGTCCCATTACCAGAAGGTATGAGACCCATTAGTTGCAAGTGGATATTTAAGACCAAACGGGATACTAAAGGTAATGTGGAAAGGTATAAGGCTCGTCTGGTAGCTAAGGGCTATACCCAAAAGGAAGGGATTGACTTTAAAGAGATTTTCTCTCCAGTTTCATCGAAAGACTCTTTTAGGACAATCATGGCTCTTGTAGCACATTATGATTTGGAGCTTCATCAAATGGATGTCAAGATGGTGTTTCTTAATGGCAACATTGATGAGACGATTTATATGGTGCAACCAGAAAATTTTTTGCAGGGAGATTCAAAGAGTATGGTTTGTAAACTGACAAAATCTATTTATGGACTAAAACAAGCATCTCGTCAATGGTACTATAAACTTCATCAAGTAATTCTCTCATTTGACTTCGAGATGAATATTGTTGATGATTGTGTATATCACAAGTTCAAGGGGAGTAAGTATATTTTCCTGATCTTGTATGTTGATGACATTCTACTTGCCACTAATGATATGGGCATATTGCACGAAACCAAGAAATTTTTATCAAAGAATTTCGAAATGAAAGATCTTGGTGATGCGTCTTTTGTATTAGGAATTGATAAAAATATTTCCAAAAACCCCTGTCTTGTATTGAATATGATAGCACAATATATACATGAAATACAGAAACATTCTAGGCTATAATTACGCTAACCATTATAGTCGGTATCCTAAATTTGTCTATTAACAGATATGACATTAATGTGCATCACTGTGCATCGCTGTCATGCCAAGCTAAATATGGAAAAAATTAATCATGTAGAATCATGGCATGATACGGTATTTGTAATCGTATATTCTATGTTTATCACCCTCCCTCAAGATGGAGTATGAAGGTTATGAATGCCCAACTTGCCTAAAAAAGAACCAAATTTAGTGGCGCCAAGAGATTTGGTGAAGAGATCAGCCAGTTGATGATGAGTGGACACATAGGAGAGTTGGATATGATTGTGTTGTATTTCATCACGAATAAGATGACAATCCACTTCAATATGTTTTGTCCGTTCATGAAACACAGGATTCTTGGCAATGTGAATGGCATCTTGGTTGTCACAGTAGAGAGTCATAGGGTCGGTGTGAGTAATGCCTAGGCTCGAAAGAAGGCCTTGAAGCCATTTCAACTCACATGTCGTGTTGGCCATAGAACGATATTCTGCCTCAGCGGATGATCGAGAAACCGTATGTTGCTTCTTGGTTTTCCAGGAAACGGGGGATTGACCAAGGAAAATAAACCAACCGGTGAGAGATCTTCGAGTGAGAGGACAACTTGCCCAGTCCGAGTCACACCAACCATAAAGACGAAGGTCACTCTCTCTTTTTAAAAGCACACCCTGACCCGGGCTGCCCTTTAAATAGCGTACCACGCGGAGTGCAGCCCGCCAATGCTCCTGACGCGGTTGGTGCATGAATTGAGATAGGACATGAACACTGTAAGATAATTCAGGTCGTGTAAAACACAAGTAAATAAGGCGACCGACGAGACGTCGATATTGACTCGGGTCAGAAAGTAGTTCGCCATCAGCCAATGCTAAACGATGATTTTCTTCGATTGGCGTGGACACAGGTTTCCCTCCAAGCAATCCTGCTTCAGCTATGATGTCCAACGCATACTTCCGTTGACACAAGAAAATTCCTGTAGGAGATCTGGCAACCTCCACCCCAAGAAAGTATTTTAATTTCCCTAAGTCCTTCATACGAAAACATTGATGAAGATAATCTTTGAATTGCGCAATGTCTTCATGATGATTGCCAGCAATGACTAGGTCATCCACGTAAACTAACACAACCAGTTCGACATCTCCTTTGCGAAAGATGAACAAGGAGTGATCAGACGAAGAACGTTGAAACCCATATTGAACAAGAGCAGTTGAGAGCTTGGCAAACCAACACCGAGGAGCTTGACGAAGACCATAAAGGGACTTGCGGAGACGACACACCATACCCTTTTGAGACACCAAGAACCCTGGCGGCATTTTCATGTACACATCTTCCTCAAGATCGCCGTGCAGAAAAGCATTATGGACATCCATTTGATGGAGTTCCCAGTCTTTGGCTACTGCCACTGCCAACACTGTCCGAATGGTGACCATCTTTGCCACTGGGGCAAAGGTCTCGTCATAGTCAATCCCCTCAACTTGGTGATTTCCCAAGACAACTAATCGGGCTTTGAAGCGTTCAACGCTCCCATCAGAATGATATTTGATTTTATAAATCCACTTGCAACCCAGAGGCTTCTTCCCTGCCGGTAGAGGAGTAATGTCTCATGTTTCATTACTTTGGAGGGCCTGAATTTCACTAGCCATGGCATCTCTCCATCTAACATCCCGAACGGCTTCAAAGAAATGCACAGGTTCTCTCTCGCATGAAGGGATGCAAGAAAGGTTCGGTGGGGAAGGAGAATTTAGCACAATTTAAGTACTTTGTCAAACTGTAAGGCATACCCGAGGAAGCTGAATGTG